CTTTTTAAAAAGATAACAATTAAGTGTTTTATTAAAACTTTATAATTATTTTAATTATTATAGAATTTTTATATTTAAAATAAGATGTTTATCTTATATTTGATTATGTTTATCTACCGTTACTTATATTAATTCAAACATAAAGTTTTAATAAGTTGTATTTACGCACATTTTGTAATCTTGAACTTAAAGTAATATGCATCAATAAACATTATTTGTACATAAAAATGGTTTTCAAAAGTAGGGGTGTAAACGATACGAGACAACTCACGAACTACTCGAGATCGACTTGGTCAACGCTCGACTCAAATAGGCTCAGCTAGAACTCGAGCTCGACTCGACATATTAAAAAGTCGAGTCAAGCTACACAATACTCGACTCGAAAAGCTCGTGAGATACTCGATTATTTTATATATAATTAGTTTTAAAATGTAATCAATTTTTATGTTAAAATTTATAAAATATAAATAATAAAAATGTCTTATATTTTTAGATATTTAAACAAAATTATGCATTTTTTAATTATAAAATTTAATCAATTATTTTTTATTAAAATCACAATTAAAAAAAGACAAAGCAAAACTATTAAAAAAAAAAGGTTAATGAAATTGTTCCATTTTGGAGGAGAGATGGTAAATGAAGGGAGAAACGATGTTATAAAAAGAGAGATTGGTGAATGAAGTTTCTAACTTTGTCTTTTTAATGATAAAGTTTGAAGTTGATCCATTTAGTTTTATAAAAACTCAGAGAACCCCTGTAAGTTTTAAAATTTATAAGAGAAAAATTCTAAAGTTTCATAAATTTTAATAGGTGAGCTTGATTCGAGTTCGAGTTCAAATTTGATTTGAGTTGCAGTTCAAGCTTGTTTCGAGCTCAAGTTCGAGTTTGATTTGAGCTTAGTTCGAGCTTGATTCGGATTCGAGCTTGATAAATAGTTATCAAGTTCGAGTCGAACTTTGATTTTTATTACTCACGAGTTTTCAAGTCGATTTCGAGCTTTGATTTTTACTACTCGCGAGTTTTCAATTCGACTTCGAACTTGAAATTGGGTTTTGAGTTCAAGTCGAATATAGTGATACTCGAGCTCGACTCGCATCATTTACATCCCTATTCAATAGTTCTTTATCAAATATTTCGTAATATAGTATAGATAATATATAAAAGATTAACTTACATTTTTAGTCCATTTGATTTGTTGAAAATTTTAATTTTCGTCCTTATAGTTTTGAAATTATGATTTTCATCCTCATAGTTTATTAATTTGTAATTTATTTATGGTTTCGTCCTCATGATTAAAAATTTGTTGCATTTTTCGTCTCCTGTGGTTTACAATTCATTTTTATTTTATTCTTTCATATTTAAAAGCAGTGTTAATCTCAGGGACGAAAATAAAAATGAATTGCAAAACCATGGGAACTAAAACCACAAGAAGGAAAATCTAAAATTTAAAACAAACCACATGGATGAAAAACGTAATTTTTACTCTATATAAAATAAAACTAGAATTATAGCAGATGTTGAATCTTGATTCTAAAGTTGATAATTGAAGCCCTTGATCTCGTTTCATACTTTTATCATCAGTTTTTTCTTAGTTTTACTTTTATAATTTTATGTCTTCTTTAGTAGAATGAGAAAAATTGGATTGATTATTATTTTTATAAAGTACACTGTTATATTAGTATGAATTTATGTTTATCATTTATATTATATTATAAAATATTTGACAAAAACTCTTAAAAACCATTTTTTATGCATGAAGTACTGTATATTGACGCATATTATTTAAAATTCAATATTACAAGTAAATTATGCATAAATACAACTTATTAAAGCTCAATGTTTGAATTCGTATAACTACATGCGGATAAATATAAAATAAAATAGAGGATAAACATCTCATTTTAAAATAAAAAAGTCTAAAATATAATTAGAATAATATCGAGTTC